GCGGTGTTGCGTAGACTGAACGGGAGCGCTGTCGAGGTGCTCCGGATGAGGTATTCCAGAGAGAGCGGCTCTCCTCTGGCAAGCTACGTCATGACATTGGCGAACGAGAAGGTGAGGTGGCACATGTCTTCTTGGGACGGTTGGGGTCCTAGGAAGGCGCCGAGCTCACGCTTTAGCCTCCCGTAATCGAAGCCGAGGAGCTGGTCGCTCCAGGGCGTGGGCCTCCGGTGCGTGCATGTTGGAACTTAGGGACCTGAGGGAGTAGGAGTGGGAGATGAGAGGCCCAGGTTTGAAACCCCGGCGACGAACTAGTGGCGCCGTGCTCGGTGCCTGGCTAGAAGATCGATGACAACAGGAGATCATGAACAATAACGCCCGAGGGCCCAAGGTGAGATAAACTCAATCTCAGGTTGATCTTTATTCCTTTAGATTGTTTGATACTTATAGCAACTCAATAACAAACCTTTCCTAAATCTAAGGGATAACAGCCCTGACTTAACAAACTCCAACTCAACTAGGACTCTTAATAACTAATTCCTATAGAACCGGCTGAAGCCCAAACCATCTCCGACGCTAGGGCCTAGTGGCCGCACCCTAGTGCCTGGCCTCGCCCCCCTACCTTAGCCACTCTTCTTGTCACGGTGGTGGTACACCTTTCCCACCATAACATCACTCCCCCCTCGATGAACAGCTCGTCCTTGAGCTGGAAGGTGGGGAACTTAGCGCGGAATTTGTCCAACGGCTCCCAAGTGGCTTCCTCTTCAGGCAACGTCGCCCACTAGATCAAGACATGCCAAGTGCCCCACCGAAGCTGGGCACGCAGAGCACGCGTCTTGAGTTCTTTGGAGGCGACAGCTAGTGGCGCAGATGGAGGAAGAAGGCCGGGGGCATTCTTTGGAGGAGTCCCCTTAATGGTTTGAGGACGCCAACATGAAAGACATTGTGGATGCACGCTCCTTGAACAACAAAGGCCACGGCATACACGCGTCACCAATGCGCTCGGTCACCTAGAAAGGGCCGGTGAACCGCGGGCTGAGCTTGCCTCGTGGCCCCGGCAGCAGCGACTGTACCGGTCGATGAAGGATGCGGAGCCACACCCAATCGCCCACTGCAAACTCCAAGGGGCGATGGTGGCTGTCGTAGTAGTGCTTGGCATATTCCTAGGCCTGAAGAAGGCGTTCACGCACCTCCGCTAGGAAGGCGTCACCATCCTAGAGAAGCATGTCAATGGTGTCAGTGTGCGTTGTACCTGTAGTATAGGAAATTAAGGAAGGCGGAGGCCGGCCGTACACAACCTAAAATGGTGAAGTCCGTAAGGCCATGTGGTAGGACATGTTGTAGCAGTACTCTGCCCAGGGCAGCCATTCCAGCCAAGACCGGGGACGGTCGCCGGTGATGTAGCGCAAATACATGGCGATGGTCTTGTTGACTGCTTCGGACTGGCCATCAGTTTGCGGGTGGAACGCCGTACTGAGGTGGAGCTTGACCCCCGCCAACTTGAATAGATCCCGCCACACATTGCCAATGAACATGGGGTCCCTGTCACACGCCGTACCGAGGGTCTCACGAGGAACTTGAGCGCATAGTGATATGTGCGCACGACAAAGCAACGCCCCCAAAGATATGGCCTTGAAAATGCATTACCAGCCTTGAAAATGTATTACCACGCCCCTTGGGTAGCTCCGTCGTTGTCTTCACGTCTGAGCTTGCGGAGTAGGTAACGTTCGGCGTTTGCCGGTGGAGGAGGACGCAAAGAAAAGACCATTCGAGAAACTACCGAGCTACGATGGCGCTCAAAGTTGGGTTCGTAAGCGTTGACGGGCAAAGTTGCATTAACGACTCTTAAAACCCGACCCTCACGATGGTGGCATGAACAAGTAAGCTCGATTGCGGTATTAATTGCGGGATCCCATGTGTGGTGAGCGACATGTAGGGTGGTTGCACGGATATGCCACTTTGGTCGCACCGCAGCAGAGCACGCGATCTGACAAGGGCAAAGCAACATATCTGCTGCAAGGATCGATTGAATCGAGTGCCAAAGCCGAGAACTCATTCTTCTATCCTGGCCGTTCATAATAGCTACGCTAATCTTATGATTGTATCACGACTTCACACACATCAACCCGCCAAGTTGCAAAAGGGATCAGATCGGTACTGCGACCCTCAGCCTCGCACCCAGGTCACACATCTACACCGCCTAGTCATCTACATGGGATATACAGAGTCGGTGGTATTCACGACTACAAGTACGTTTTCAAGCTAGTCATTCTCCGCATGATATTAACTAGTCCATCACGCGCGTCATCGCGCGCGCCGGCAAATCACCTAGTTAAGGCGCAAGAAAAAAATATGTTTAATCTTTGTATGGAAGCAATATTAGGAGTTTAATTTAGAGGATTGTTGGTCCAAATGAAATGTTGGGCTAATGAACATACCATGATGGATGATTTACGCTCCGGCGTTGCAAGTACAAACACTTGAAAATTAGCGGGAGGCGGTTCTGTGCTTTCAATTTGGATTATGTAAACCACCAACCAACATAAACAATGAGAGAGAAAATATACTAATCTAGACCGGCTTAGATTTATGAAGCTAGGTAAAGAGTCACGGAATTACAGTTTAGCAAAGGAATGGCATACTAAGCAATAGCTAAAATAAACCCCATCAAGTTTGCATTAGTTTAAAAAAAGCAAGTGTGAATGTGAAGCCAGATAAAAAGGCAAGATTGAGAATCAATAGAACCACGAAAGATGTACCTCATTAGGTGTGGTGTACACGACATATTAGATGTCCAAATTTGTTAAAAAAACTAAAATGATAGATGTGTCGATTAGTGACCTCTATCTAATGGTATATACATCAACCTAAAAGTTGTATCCTGCTTTCGATCAACAATAGCAGGGAGACATCTTCAGTTATTTAGTTTCCAACTATTAAAATAATCTGTCACCTTCGGAAAATGTTGCTACATGTAGGCAAACGAACGATCCTTGCTTATAAAGAGGCTAGACAGGGTATCCCTTTTTTAAGCTTTGAAGAAGCTGAACTGTATGTTATAGGTCAATTCATTTACAAAGGACGTGAAAGGCTATATAAGTAAGGCTTACCTAGTAGTTCTATTGATGGATATAACTCTAAATTAGGGAATAGCCGTCTGTTTTTGTTTGAGGGGCTGTGCAGGTGTGGTTTACTGGGTGCTCCAAAAAGCTCAGCGACAACTCTTTGTACTATGTACTGATTTGCATACTGTATAACAGCAGGTTTAGGAATTGTGTGGAGCAGCGCAAGAGTATGGAGTTATGTATAAGCCCGAGCAGCTGCGTAGTGCTTACCTATTTTGGGACTTGGGAAGGCCTACGGGTACTGCCTTTTGGCTGAAGCTTGGAGACACTGGATTTGGACCTGTTTGTGGTATGGAGATGGTGTTATACGAAAGGTACTAACACATGTTAACTGAATATGTATAACAGGATTTTTCCAAATATTATATCCCTGATTAGGCAGTGTAAATAGGAAAAGGACAGTACATTTTAATTATACAGTGTAAATAGACAGTGAAAGGCAAATACATCTCCATGATTAATTGGAAAAAATGGCCGGCATAACTAACAACTTAGTTAATTTGAGAACGAACACTTTAAATATAGTAAGGGAGATCGCATGACTATATATAGCTGTTGTACGTACCTGGTGCGAAGAACGTAAACCACAGTAGCATAGATGATAAAATTGAAAAAATGTAAATTGATTTGGGGAAGAAGCAACCTGCCCAGTAAATATGAAACCAAAAACCAGGACATTAGGAGATTGGAGTTAACTGAAGACAAGAAGCATTCCAAAATTATCACATGAAGAATAGAATACCTGCACAGGGCCTTGAGCTGTTCAGTCCAAATTTGAATGTGACATAATCCATGGTAATAGACAAAAAAAACTGAAAACCCAAAATATCTCATAAATCCAGACTATAGACACTTCAAATCTTAAATCAAGGCCACTCTAAATTTCAAACTGAGCCATAAAAAACACTTGTAACTATAATCATCAGCATATATTATGTAAATATGGCATGTCAATAGGCATCAACAAACCAACTAATACTTTGTCAAGTGAACATGTGGAGGGGGGAAGGTAGGACGTCACATAGCTTGGAAGGGAAAACTTTAAAATTTTGGCAGGGAAATAGACAGCAACAAATCAGCTAATACTTGGTCAAGTGAACATGTGGAGGTGGGAAGTTAGCAGCTCACATAGCTTGCAAGGGAAAACTTTAAGATTTTGGCAGGGAGAACCTATAAATTGGAAAGTTTCTGTAGCAGGGAATAATTATATAAATTTAAAAGTCTAATGTATTATTTGGTTGTAGAGGTTTCATATAGCTTCAATCCAGTTATGTGAGACTGAGATGCAGACATATTAAATAACAGTAGAATGTATGAAATATTTTTGGCACAAAAATCAGCAAGACAGACCATTCAATACCACAGGAGCCGTTCAAGAGTATGCAAATAAGGTCGAGGAGGGTGCGTGTAGGGTCTGGTGGAGCATATCCAGGAAACTGCATCTGCATAGAAGCTGCCGCGAACATGAAATTACCTAACGCAAGGAAATAAGCCTGTAAATAAGACAACACAAAAGAGAAGTCATGTACGTAACAGATTCAGCACATAGACAAAAAAAACTGAGGTACCGAGCTGCAGCAACAGGCCCAAATTCCATTTTGTTAAACACGACATCATTTTAGGTGTGCAAATACAAACTAACCCATTCAGGTTTCGCACATATAAACCTTGAACTGTTTTTATGTGTGCATAGATAAATATAAATTAAGCCATATCTATTTTTTAAATACAACCTTAGAGACATTTCATGAAGCAATTTGTAGCTCATTGATGTCATTTATACTAATTTAATTTTTTAGCTGGAAACAAACTGAAGATGTGCACAGAGCAAATTGCAAAATGACCCAAAGGAAAAGCTGAAGATATTTTTTGACGGTGCTAGGACGAAATCATCACAACTTTACCCCCACTGTTTGAAGTGGCCTCTGTGGCAAGAAATCCAGTGTACTCCCCCGAAATGGCAAAGAGCAGATGGTTTGCAATGATGAGGTCTGCAATGATGTCCTCTGGAGGAACATCAAGCTCAAATGCTACAGGCTGGGAACAAGGCAGACATGAGAGCGATGATTGTGAACCACTAAATGATACCCCATTATATGCATATAGTAATACATATACTAATTTAACTTTGTAATAGGAACAAACTGAAGATAACGTGATCGCCGCTGCTGATCTGGCTTGTTTAGACTTCTCAAGACTTTTGCACTGAACTTGCAGATTAGGTGACAGCTGCATCTTTGACCCTGAGCGATTGTTCGAACACACTGGATGTAGTAGAACATCCGAAAAAATAGAACAACACAGAATACAAAAACAACTATTAGACGATTTCAGAGAAAATTGTCAGCCGGCAACTGATTCCTTCACAGCTTCTACCTGCGGCCAAACCTAGATTTAATTGAGCGATACACTTGCCAGCAGAAGTGTGGTGGGGTTAGCTGTATACCTTGCGTCCCATAAATCAACGAGGAGACAAGAGATCCGCCAGATCCAGACTTGGAGCTGAGACGCCATCGTGGCCGTCGGCGACGAAGATGGCACGAGCAGCGGAGCCGTGGAGCACAGGCAGGTAGGGTTTCGTGGAAGCGGGGCAAGGCGACGTCGTTCGGTGGCTGCGTCGTCGGGGGCCGCTCGTGACTCCGGGCTGGCCGTGCTGGGTGCTCTCGCGGGGAACGACGGGATCCGGCCATGGAGGCCCTGGATCGACCCAGCAAAGAAGGCAACAACCACAGACCGCACAGATCGACGCTGGGCACCGGCGAGGGAAAGAGAGGAGGAGCAAGGAGAGAGGCCACCTTCACCTGCGTCTGCTCACGCCGGAGCCGCTGCGTGCTGGGTGCGCCCTTGGGGGCCACCGACGCCATCGCACAGCTGTGCCGAGGGGAGCAGTCGGCCCGCTCTGCCGCACCGCCGTGCCTGGGGGCCGCACCCGCGGCGCCGTGCTGGTGGGCGGCCTCGCTGGTCGGCGCGCGTCCGTGCTAGGGGGCCGCCGGGCCGCGGCCTCGCCTGGCCGCCGCGGTGGGGGCCTACCCTAGCCGCCGCCGTGAGAGCTGAGGGAGAGGGAAGAGGCGCGGATGCGGATACGGATGCGGATGGGGACGCGAGAGGGAGCGGTGGAAGGATCGGGAAGGCAGAATCGGAAGCCGGCGTATATATCTGATGGGCCTGCTCCGGAGCAGAAGCCGCACAACACCGAGAGAATTTACGGGAAAGCTGTGGAAGCGAAGCCAGAGCGACAGAAGCCGCTGCCGGCCGAATCCGCTCCAGACAACCATGGCCACACGATGGAAGATCCAACGGTCGTAAACGATGGAGCGGCTCGGATAGGCTGAGAGGCGGCCCAAGAACGCTGAAGCGGCTACAATCCATCTGGACCGCACGTTGGGAGATCGGACGGACGAAAAAAAAAACGGGGCGACATGGACGGTCTGGTTGATGGCCAAAGCTCCCTGCTTTGATAATAAGAGATGACAAGTTTGTCCTGCTTTCAACGAAAGCAGGCAGGGACATTCCTTACGACCTTACGTTCAAGGGAAACCATGTGCATCACACAAATAAGATAATCTTATGCTATCGTTTTGATCACTTATCATCAGCATTCAATGAAATCCATGCCCAATATACAATATATAGTAAAGTGTACCAGCGGTCCCTAAACTTGTACCGTTGTGTTATCCTAGTCCCTAAACTTCTATAAATCGATAGTTTATGTCGCCAAACTTTTCATACGTATGTCATATCGGTCCCTAAACTGTTGGTTATTTGTGTCATCCGGTCCCTAAACTTGCAAATCACCCGTTTAGGTCCTCAAACTTGTTCGGTTGTGTCATCCGAATCCTAAACTTAGTTTTGAGTCTCATCGGGTCAAAACATGGTGATCTAAAAACTTTATATCAAAAAATAATTCATAATTTTTTCATATGAACTCGAATGAAGACAGACTTTATATCAAAATTGTAGCCCTCGATGTGATCTACGACTTTGTAGTTGAAAAGTTTTTGAATTAAAAGCTGTTTAGGGTCCCAAAATATTATTGTATGTTTATATATTTTAAAATTTGAAATTTAAAATTATCAAACAATCTTGGATATTGATATGGTTTGTATGAAAGTTATAGTTCTCAATACGATCTACAACTTTGTAGTTGAAAAGTTTTTGTTTGAAGTCATTTAGTGTCCCAAAATTTAATTTTAAATTTTAAATTTTAAAATCTATAAACATACAATAATATTTTGGGACCCTAAATGATTTTAATTCAAAAACTTTTCAACTACAAAGTCGTAGATCGCGTCGAAAACTTCAATTTTGATATAAAGTTTGTCTTCATTCGAGTTCATATGAAAAAGTTATAAATTATTTTTATATAAAGTTTTATATCATCCTGTTTTAACTTAGACGGGACTCAAAACCAAGTTTAGAGACTGGGATGACATAACTGAATAAGTTTGAGGACCTACACGGATGATTTGCAAGTTTAGGGACCGGGATGACACAGCCGAACAAGATTAGGGACCGAGATAACACAGATGAACAAGTTTGAGGACATAAACGGTCGATTTACGAGTTTAGGGACCGGAATAACACATCGATACAAGTTTAGGGACCGCTGGTACACTTCTGCAATATACAAATCGTAAAATGCCAGGCTCCAGCAAACATTTCCAAACCAGAACACTGCACGTCTGCGCAGCACGGACCGGGCCACAATGAACATATCCTACTATCCTAGACGTCTGGTTTGAACAGATATACAGATCAATATAACTTGTTATTAAGCACCTAAAGTTACTACTCGTATAGTCCCATCAGTTAAATCAACAAACGCAAATGCCCGAGCATCCTAAATTCCCTGCTTTCAGACATATACTGATCAATATAATAACCTGCTTTCAGATAGATCAATGTAACTTTTATTGAGCATCCTAAATTCCCTGCTTTCAAACATATACTGATCAATATAACCTGCTTTCTGATCAATGTAACTTTTATTAATCCCCTACAGTTACTAGTGGTCCGTGTGGTCCCATCACGTAAGTCAACTAACGCAAATGCTGAGCATCCTAAATCAACTGCCTTCAGTTTTTTTTTTTAATGTCTGTTTCAAACAAAATAAATCGTACAAGCACATCATTAGTCCAGTCCACAAACGCGAAGAACAGACAGGCCCCAGCCAAATGCATATGCTAATTTGTTAAAATTGTAGCAATAGTAGCTACACTCCCTCACTCAAACGGTAGCATACCCTCGTCAGAAAAGAGTTTCAGAGACCAAAATAATCGACACAAAAGCTAAAGCATCCGAGGAGCATGATTTTACATAAGTAAACAAAGTTACATCTGAAGTGATACCAAGTACGAACGCAACAGGCTATATATAAAGTTTACACAACAGGTTATATAGAAAGTTTACACGACGAAACACTTAGTAGAACTGGATATAGAAAGTTTACATGACGAACCACTTAGTAGAACTGGATATGTCTGTCCACACTACACATAGAATTTTAATAACTTTGCAGCAGGACACATTCCTACTACCTCAGTTTACACGGCCACCACGGAGGCGCAGGACGAGATGAAGAGTGGATTCCTTCTTGATGTTGTAATCTGCCAAGGTGCGCCCGTCCTCAAGCTGCTTCCCAGCAAAGATGAGCCTCTGCTGATCTGGAGGAATCCCTTCCTTGTCCTGGATCTTGGCCTTCACATTGTCAACGGTGTCAGAGCTCTCCACTTCCAACGTGATTGTCTTGCCAGTCAGCGTCTTGACAAAGATTTGCATGCCACCCCTAAGACGCAGGACAAGATGAAGAGTGGATTCCTTCTGGATGTTGTAGTCAGCCAAGGTGCGCCCATCCTCCAGCTGCTTCCCAGCAAAGATGAGCCGCTGCTGGTCCGGTGGGATGCCCTCCTTGTCCTGAATTTTTGCCTTGACATTGTCAATTGTGTTAGAGCTCTCCACCTCGAGTGTGATGGTCTTGCCAGTCAAGGTCTTGACGAAGATCTGCATCCCTCCTCTGAGGCGCAGGACAAGATGAAGGGTGGATTCCTTCTGGATATTGTAATCAGCCAATGTGCGCCCATCCTCCAGCTGCTTCCCAGCAAAGATGAGCCTCTATTGGTCAGGTGGGATGCCCTCCTTATCCTGGATCTTCGCCTTGACATTGTCAATTGTGTCGGAGCTCTCAACCTCAAGTGTGATAGTCTTCCCAGTAAGTGTCTTCACAAAGATCTGCATCCCTCCTCGGAGGCGTAAGACCAGATGCAGGGTAGACTCCTTCTGGATATTATAGTCAGCCAGGGTGCGGCCATCCTCGAGCTGCTTGCCAGCAAAGATGAGCCTCTGCTGGTCCGGCGGAATACCCTCCTTATCATGAATCTTGGCCTTGACATTGTCGATAGTGTCAGAACTCTCAACCTCCAGTGTGATTGTCTTGCCAGTTAATGTCTTGACAAAGATCTGCATGCCACCCCTCAGGCGCAAGACAAGGTGGAGGTAGACTCCTTCTGGATGTTGTAGTCAGCCAGGGTGCGACCATCCTCTAGCTGCTTTCCAGCAAAGATGAGCCTCTGCTGATCCGGGGGAGTGCCCTCCTTATCCTGAATCTTGGCCTTGACATTGTCGATGGTGTCAGAGCTCTCAACCTCCAGTGTAATTGTCTTGCCTGTAAGAGTTTTAACAAAGATCTGCATGCCACCCCTCAAGCGCAGGACAAGATGGAGGGTAGACTCCTTCTGAATATTGTAGTCAGCCAGGGTGCGGCCATCCTCTAGCTGTTTGCCAGCAAAGATGAGCCTCTGCTGGTCCGGGGGGATGCCCTCCTTGTCCTGGATCTTGGCTTTAACATTGTCGATGGTGTCTGAACTCTCAACCTCGAGAGTGATGGTCTTGCCGGTCAGGGTCTTAACAAAGATCTGCATCTGTTTCAATCAAACAGATAGAAAAATGTCAGAAAGCTTGCAAACATGTGCTTTAAGTGAAGATATGATTTGCAATTGAGCAAGTTGGAACAGATGTATGGCTGACTAATATGCTATTACAATATATTTTACAGGCTACCATAGCCACATGAATAATGAGAACTATAGACTTATATACATGCAAAAATATCATTAATACAGATGAACCGTTCTGCATCCCAGTGAGGGATTACAAAAAACGAACAGCAAGTCAGTGGAAGGATATGTAGGACCACGTAAAAGGCCTAGATCATTTTCAAGTAGAATAATGGATTATTATGAATCTAGGCATGGATTAGTAATAGCAGTTTGTTATTGATATTATACAGCAGTGTATTGCACTGTAATAACTTAAACAAGCTTCATTTGCACATAATAAATTCATTCAGAAGTAAAATGATAGGATCGTATAAACCAATGCTGAATGAACAGAGCTACCAAATTGATGTTCCTAATCACTAGGAACTGCACCATGATCAAATAACTAGTCAATGATAGGATCGTAGAGGCAATGCTGAATGAACAGAGCTACCAAATTGCTGTTCCTAATCACTAGGAACTGCACCATGATCAAATAACTAGTCTCGCATTAAATAAAGCACCCATAGACTAGTCTCGCATTACTGTTATTCAGGAAAATAAAGCACCCATAGAACAAAGGAACCATATCACACGGTCTATAGATATATTTTGCCAGGACTGATCAGCAAAAATCAAATGTCAAAACAATGTGAACATAGCACTGGACAGAACATGTAGGAAACACCTACGGTAAGCAACAGATTTATTTGATTCTAAAATCACAACCTAACAGACCCCAGCCTCGACAAAGCAACCGCGTCAGATCGCGCGATTAAACCGCAAGCGCCGACGCCGCGACGCCGCATACAAGCCTAGATTACTCCAAG